CTTTGAACACGTTAACGAAACAAAAGAAAGTGTAAAATCCATCTGTCGACAAAATCCGCAATCACTTAATTGCCAACCCAATAATTATATGAAGAATTGTGTCTTACAGAATGTACTAAGAATTTTCAATTGGTGGTCTCTAAGAAAATTGTACGACGCTATATAAAAACATTATTTCAAATGTACAGATGTTTCTTCTATCCCCATTCACCTCTTAGAATTTTATATCATAATTGTGTTTGATACAAAAATACATTTCTTTATTTGCGGCGTGATGCTTAGATGTTCGAGAGACTTTCGATAGATGTTCGAGGGATGTTCGATAGACGTTTGATAGACGTTCGATAGACGTTCGAGAGACGTTCGTGAGACGTTCAATAGACGTTCAATAGACGTTCGAGACGTTCGAGAGATGTTCGATATGGCGCAGTAAACGAAGGGCCTGAGGTTTGAGTCTGACCTAGTTTCGACTAATCTTTTCTTTGACTTATGCGCGACGTCATCATACACACTGTGAGGACCTTCATTAGACGTCTCCTAGCAACAAGCGACGGTGGTCTAGGAGCTTTGAAGCATTGGATAGTAACCGCGAGGGCCCGGATTCGAGTCTAGCAGCAGCCCGACAGTTTTCTCTCTCGTGACATCATCGTGCACACTCTAAGAACCTTTACTAGACGTCTAATAGTAACAGGCGACGGTGGTCTAGGAGCTTTGGAGCATTGGATAGTAACCGCGAGGGCCCTGGTTTCGAGTCTACCTACATCCCAGTATATTTTTTTCTCGTGACGTATGCGTGACGTCACGGTCGCCATCTTGCGTGACGTCCCACCATGAGTTCCCCTTCCCCGCGCGACGTCATACCCTGCGCCCTGAGTTCCCCGCTTCCCTGCGCCCCCCTCAGCACTCCTGAGTTAGAACCGGCCTTACTATTCTACTGATTGTGCGTTGCAGACGCGACTGTCTTGTCAGTAGCTCCATGAGTGACATCGTTTCTCAAGAATCTCAATTTCTCTCCACCGATACCCGGATCCGGCTCGAAGGACCAAAAATATGTTCGCGATCGTGTGAAAATCACAGGATCGTCTTATCACCGAAATCCGCTCAGAGTTGAGCGCGAGACACAGCAAAGGGTGGATCGAAGCGGGAGCAAGGATTAAGGCTCTTTCGACAGGAAGTTTGAGAATAAGTTGCGTAACGTGACTTCGTTCGAAACAGGATTTTATATTCCTTGAAACATCGAGGAGGCCGTTGCAGGCTTTTATCGTTATGGCCTAGACGCTCGACAGGATTTGAATCTCCAGACGCTCGTTGTTAGGTCCTCGAAGGTCTTAGCAACGGTCGAACGCGACGGCGATGTGCAAACACCGACGGTGCGAGCAATGAGCGATTTGCGTGACAGTGGACATGCGTATCGGCTGTCTCAGCTACTCCGACAAGAGTCCGATCGAAAAACTCCCAGATCGCGACTGATTGCGAACAAAAGAAAGAAAAAACAAAAAAGAACGTACGGAAGCGTCTCCGTTTCCTTTTTAACTGCCGAAATTTTGATGAAAGTGATCGAACGGTCTATCAGAAGAGAGAAAGAGCGAAAGAGACAGAGTGCTGGTCGAACGGAGGGAGTATTCTTTGTTGTCATTATCACTGATAATACTTGAACGACAGCGAGAATCCATTAGGAAAGGATTACCTTATTTTGTGCACGTGTTCAACGCGTGCGCATCCATGAAAACAATTCGTCTGGCGTATAATGACGCGTGGTGCGAGGTGTGATCACGTGTCTCTCCCGGTCTCGTCTCTTCTGCCAGAACGCTCTAGAAATTCAGGAATCTTCCTGTTCAAATCTCGAACACTCTTGCATCATTAAAATATAAATCGTAAGGAAATACGCTGATATTTCGAATGTTAAAAAAGCAAAAATCATTTCTATATGCTTTTCATATTCAAAGTACTATCGCACTTTCTTACGATGTGCACTTTAATGATGCCAAAGCATTTCCAGATTTATAGAGTCAAAACGATGTAATATTAAACCAAATTTTTAACTTTTTGCACGTGTATAAATCCACTTTACATTTCGTCGGATGATATCCAATCAACTTTAAACGGAAACTTCCGATCACAAATTTTTCATTGGTTTTGTTGTTCAACGGATATACACCAATCATATTCTATTGGATATATCTTGATCGGAAATATCCGTTTGTTAATTTTCTGATTAATTTTGACCGGTATATCCAAATGTTTACGTGGGATATAAACCGAGCAACATGCATCGGATATTTTCTTCTGTCTTCAACGGAAATATCCGTTTGTTAATTTTCCGATTTTTCTAATCGGTATATCCGAATGCTTGCGTCGGATAAAATGATCAATAATCAACGCATATTTTTTATCGGTTAGAAATTGATCGGAAAAATCCGTTTGTTAATTTTTAATCGGGACATCTAATTAATTTCATCGGATAAAACACAGATTTTTCTCTCAGTGTAGCTCGAATTTTTCAAATAAAACGTTTTACTTTTTTTGCATTTTCTTGTAACGTATTTTAAGAATTTTCCAAAACACTATGACAAAATATTTTTTTGTTAAGTACATTTCGAGTTATGAAGCTTCAATGTTATAGTACCATTAGCATTACCCAAAATATATCGCATGGAAGTTGCACGATCGGAATTACACCATTGTACGTGCGTGTGCGTGCGTGCGTGCATGCGTGTCTGTGCATGTGCGTGCGTGTGCGTGCGTCTCTGTGCGTGTCTGTACGTGTGCGTGTGCGTGTGCGCGTGTGTATGTGTATGCGCGCGTGTCTGTGCGTGTCTGTGCGTGTGCGTGCGTGTCTGTGCATGTGCATGCGTGTGCGTGCGTGCGTGTACATGCGTGTGTGTGCGTATGCGTGCATGCATGGGCGTGCGTGTACGCACATGTGCGTGTGCGTGCGTGTGTGTATGTGTGCGTGCGCGCGTGCGCTACCGTGTGCTTGTGTGATGCGTATGCGTGTTATGGCTCCTACACACAAGACGCGGCAGCGCGTCAACGCGGCAACGCGTTGACCAATCACAATCTTTCTTTTATAGTTATATAACTCATATCTCTGGAAAAGAAAAACTGTGAACACGTTGACGCGTTGCCGCGTCCTGTGTGTAAGAACCATTATGTAACAAAAATAGGGACCCCACGGTTCGTCATTCCCGTAGCATAGGCTGCGTTTCGATATTCACTGCCAGTATTGGGAGCATTGCGAATGCCGTTCCGATATTCGCGACAGTAAACTTTCAAAGCATTTTCGTTTTCATATGACGTCATAGATTTTGTCATCACTTCCTGCGTGAGGCATTCGCAGTAGAAAAATAGTGGCACCTGTGGAAGAAGTGTGTCTGATCGATGCGGAAGATAATAAAGAATATAAAATAATATTAAGTAGCGGAGATGCAGAAAAGTATAGTATAAGAGGTACTTTTTCTCTTATACTATACTGTATACTTATACAATTTATATTGTCAATATTTTTATAAATATTAATATTATTTTTACTTTTATAGAAATGAATTTTGCAACGTTGTTGTTGGCAAAAGCCAAAGAACAATATACGTTACCACAGGCAACTAGTGAACTACCGGGGGCAGCCAAAATATGGCGTCGACCCCGGGGCTTATTTCTATTATTTGCACCGAATAAGGAGGGGCAACGGTGGAGGCCGGCATACATGGACAGCAGGTCTTAAAAGGATAGCAACCTTTGACTTTGAGAGACTGTCAGCTTGTACCACCAGGTACAAGTAACAATGCCTCTCTCTGTAGTCGCCGTACGCTCGGGATAGCACTAGAGATGTCGCTTCCGAACGACATCTCTCAACGTTATCTGGAGAGGGGAGAGTGTCGTGAGCGTGGAGCGTCAGATAGCTCAGTGGTCTAGAGCAGTCGCCCGGCAGGCGAAAGACCCGGGTTCGATTCCCGGTCTAGCGGCTACCGCGCTCTCGATATTTTTCTCTCCTCGGAACGAAAAATGAGATGCAGGTCCCGAACGCACGGCGTCCCGTCGCCACCTAGTACGCCCTCCTTCTTTCATGGTAGTGGAAGTAAATATCATAATGAATTTAAAAATATTAAGTAAATAATGAGTGTTTTCCATGTAGCGACATAAATCGATGCAAGCATCATGCTATCTTTGTCACTCACTGATGTGAGGCAAGAACAGAATAATGCTTGTGTCAACTTGTGTCATGAAATGGAAAGTATCCATTATCAATTTGTTAAATATTTTTTCTGTTCTAGCAAGTTATAATACATTTACAAATATTATTGGATGTGTGGAAGGTAATGTAATAATTTTAACTGTATACTTGCTTTTGTAAAATGGTTTAAACATTTAATTATTTTTTAAAAGAGAGTGAGAAAATCGAAGAATTCTAGCAACTGTTTACAGGTTTGTAAGTGACAAGTGACCAGTTCTTTTTAGCTGTACTGCTAAACTGCAATAAGTGATAGTAAGAAAAATATAGGCCTGTTCGTTTTCGCTGCACTGCTGAATTAGCGCAATAAGTTAGAGTGAGAAAATCTGTATTTATCTTACTTTAACTTATTGCACCGATTCAGTAGTGCAGCGAAAACGAACAGATTTCATGTCTCACTTTAACTTATTGCACTTGTGTAGCAATACAACTAAAGGACAAACTAAAGATTATGTGTAATTGTGTAAACTTGTGAACAGTTGCTGACTTTTTTCAGTTATCGTCTTTTATTTCGAACAAGTTGGACAAATGACTAAATCATTTTGTAAATAAATATACAAGGATGTATCTAATATAATAAATGTCTACTGCATATTAGATGTATCCAATTTGCATCAAATATTGAAATAATAGTATTTCTTTAATCATTACAGGTACACACATTTGGACTACACCAGAAACTCTATTATTATTAAGCATATATGGTGAATACAAGGATGAATATTAGAATGGAAAAGGAACAGTTAAATAATACTGAGATAAAGTTGCAAACGCTATGCAAGACAAAGGATATGATGTAACGGGCATGAAATGTTCAACAAAGTTGCAGGCCTTAAAACGAACATATAAATCAGTTATGGATCATAATAACAAAAGTGGGAATAGTCGCAAAGAATGGGAATATCTAAAAGTATAAGATTTTTTAAGTTTATTCTTACATAAAGTTATATATATGTTACATGCTTATTAATGTTAATACATCGACATTTAATTATAAAGATTATGTTTTTGCCTCAGATTATGAATGAATTGTTTGCGGATAAACCTTGGATCAAACCTTTGGCTGTGGCAGGATCAAATATGGATGAAGATGAGAAAGAGAATACACCATGGAAAACTGTAAGATAAAACATGCCTTCTGTGTCTTATATAAGTAAAATGAATTATAAAAGTGTGTTCGACATTTATGAGTTTAGGTATTAAAAAGAGAAAATTAAGTACACTTATATAAGACTACATAACATATAACGAGGAACAAAAGAAACGAAGAAAGTTTCGAGAAAAAAAATATGAAGAGAAACAAATTGTATTTAAGCGATTAGAAGATTTAATGCAAAGATTGATAAAAAAAGAAAACAGTAAAGTAGATTGAGTGAGAAAGAAAAACGGATAAAGGATATAATGCTTATTTTGTTCATTACAAAGTTTACAGTTTAAGTTTTTTTAAGTTTAAGAGTTTTTTTATTATATTTCTTTGACAATATCATATACTGAATGTGATAAAAATTTTATTTTATGTTTTTATTAACTGTTTATAAACAAAAAATTAGTACAGTTCAATGACTAGGTTTATAATCTATGACAGTATAATAAAAGACTGAATATATATTAACTATATATTAATATAAACCTAAATCAAAACCTACTTTTAATAATATTTTATGTCCTTGTTAAAATATTATAATATATAGTTATATAAAATAAAAAGAATCGAGATATGTGATATATAATATTTATTTCTGTATTTAAAATATACAAATATAAAAGTATAAAGTAAACATCTTTCCTTCCTTTCACATCACATCGTTTAAACATCTGGTAAATAGTACATAATTGCATTTCTTTTCTCTATACCTTCTCTGTGTGCAGCATTGTCTTCTAATATTTGTGCTTCTTGCATGATATTAGGCTGATTAACAATAATAGGAATATCTATTATATCATTATTCAACAAGCAAATATTGTGCACAATGCAACAAGCAATTATGTATTTGGGAATTAAATCCGTTCTTTGCATTGGAAGTGTGTCTAATATACTTCTAAAACGACCTTTTAGGAGATCTAATGATCGCTCCACGATCATTCTAGCAGAAAAGAGACGAAGATTAAAATATTTTTGTCTTTCTGATAGATGACCATTATCCTTAAATGGTACCATCACATATTTTGTTAATCGATATGCTGCATCACCTAAGATATGGCTGTCATGAAGAAAATTCGCATCCGTACACATATTTTCGAATTTGGATCATTTAAAAACACGCATATCGTGTACGGAACCAACTTGTCTCGCATAATAATATATAAATTGTAATTGTGGATTACAAATTACCTAAAACATAATTTTTCAATGTTGACATCATACATTAATAGTGATATAAATGAAACATTTGCTATTAATAAGTACATGATTTGTGTATGTGTGTGCTCGCATACTAAAAAGTTGACTGTAATTTTTGGAATGAGTTTGTAAACTCTATCTTGTCCAATGGGAGTATTATACCATGAAAAAACGAATTCTTCCATTAAACAGAAGAAGAGTTCACAAATTCATTTCAAAAATTACAGATAACTTTCTAGTCCACGATAGTACAATATATTTCACACTTTTAACATCATCCAGTAAAAAACAAACATGAGTCTACACTATTAAAAACATTTTATCATATATTAATATTAAAATATTAATAATATTAACTTACTTGTAGTTGAATAGAATGAAACCCTTTTCTGTTTATGTATAATTCATTATGTTCTTGTGGAGCAATAATTTTTACATGTGTTTCGTCTACTGCCCCGATAACATTTGAAAAACCATATTGCTGTTCCATGGTATCCATGCTTTGTTGTGCTTCTTCTATAGTTGGCCATTTAATAAAACTTGCCATTTTTTTATACAGTCCATGTACAACTTTTTGCACACTTCGCCATGCTGTAGCTTTACCAATGTTATATCTATCTGAAACACATCTGAACAAAAGATTTATTAGATATACCTATTTTATATAAATCCAAAATTATAATTCAATTTATTTATATGCTTCTTACTTACTATAGGAATTTGGTGTAGCCATAATTCAAATAGCTATGAGTAATTGTTTTTCAGGCGATATTGGTTGCCTGCCATATCTATTACTCTGTTTGCAGAGGCTTGGTCTTAATAGTTCTAATAATATTTGAAACGTACGCCATTTCATCCTAAAATAACGAATAACTATTATAAAAAGATAAAAGTTTATTTATTCAATATAGCATTTATGTATGTAAACTATCAAAATTTTATCTGCATATTTTTTCTTACCGAAAATGCATTTGGAATTCTTCATCGGTGTACAAGGATATAATGTTTTCAACGTAATTCTGGCAACGTATATGCGATATTGTATTTGTTACCTCCTAGAGGAGGAGCGCAACTTTTTCGTTCGCAGGAAAGGCGAACGAAAACGTACACGTTCGTACACGCATGCCAGGGAACGGGTCAGGAACCCGACGAGTCCCTTTACTCGGTCACTGACGTACGACGAGCGGTCCGTTTTTCGGTCAAGGACGCGAATCCCTTTACCGGGGATAGGACCATGAGTCAACTGTTGGAAGAGTGAGGGATTTTGAAATCAATTGGATGAAAATAGACTATTAACAGATTTATTAAAATGAAAATAATAACAAAATGATATAACGGCGTGGTTTAAAATATGACAATAAGTGTATGTGTATGATTGTGTGTGAGAAGTAACAGAAGAAGGAATGAAAAAGGGAAGGAATATGAATAGAGAGTTAGTCGGGTGAGGGGGAACGTGAATTTAAGGGATAGTTCAGAGAAAGAAAGGAGTGGACGCACGAGTAGGAGAAGAAGAAGGACCAAGGAGTAAATGTCGAAATAGGAAAGGGGGTAGGAGTGTCGGGTCTGGTGATAATCAGTTTTTAGTGAGATATTAATAATGGAACGGAGATATTGTAGTTAACTTTCGAATTCATAGGGGTCTCTTATCCTGTATACCGCCTCGAAAAGATGGAGGAGTCTATGGATGGATACCATAGAATCATAATAATGACCCACTAAAAATGGATTTCAATAGACGGATAAAACCAATAAATAAGGGCATAAAAGAAAACAAAACTTACTGCTGATGCGAGATGAGTGACACAAGCAAAAAGAAAATGGCGCAGATCTGCGTAGGTGTTCTGGTTTCCAATATTTGGAAATTTGCACCAGTCGAGTATTCCGATTGAGGCACCAAATAATCGTTCACTTGTTAGAACCAGGAAGCTCGCACTTTTCTCAAAATCCGAGTGTTTGAATGCTTAAATACTGAATATTTGAATTTCTCAAAATCTGAATTTGGAAACTGGAATTCTGAATGTGAATGGATATCTGAATATTTGAATCTGAGTCCGAATGGTCAAAATCAGAATATCTGAGTGCTCGCGGAGGCGTATGTCGCGGTTTTTATATTGATGATGGGAGGCAGGACCCGCCAAGGTGGGTAGAGAGATGACCTTTGGGGAAGCGGTGAAGCCCCAAAGAGAGCCCAATGATGTCAAAGATATAATTAGTAAATTTTTAGTATTGGTCCTGGTTGATCTTAGTGGGAAAAAGTCTTAGCCATTAGAAGTTAAGAGCGAAGTTAAAAGACATCATGGGAGGAGATAGTTCTAGAAGACATGAATATAGATGGGATAAGGGGTGGAGCATGGATGTCTCATAGTTTTGGGTGGATAGGTTATGATTAAGCACAACAAGTGTGTTGGTGGTAGATTCTTGTGAGGTAGAGAGATGTATACAAGTGGCCAGGTGGAAAAGTCAAGATGCCGAAAATCAAAGGCTGAGATCAGATTTTACGATTAAGCTTTGTTGTTAAGTAGCATATGGTTTTAGATAAGGGAGATGTAGGTTTCAAAGTTTTAGAGCAGGAGTGTTTCGAGTTGCTTTGATCTACTGGAGATCTGTTAGCACAGAGTTTCAAATTTTTATAGCTAGAGCCGACGGACACACTTGGCGAACACTACCCAGATATAAACTCTAGATTTTTACAATAGGGCAGTTTCCTGTTATGAAATTTTCCTGAATCGCCTTTCATTTGGCGCGACGGCTGTTCGCCAGATGGGTCTGTTTCCTATGTCCATTGTTGTATTAGGAGAATAGAAGTTCAAAAGGAGAGAGAGAAAGAAAAAAAAGATTTTTTTAATTAATTTTTTAATTAATTGTCCGGAATTCGCAGGACATAACATATTCGTCTTTTGCACAATTAATAACAAGAGCAATTCGTCTTCCTCATTTGATGTTTCACTGTCTGATTCATTTGATGATTCCATTAAATATTTCGCGAACTCACAAATCACTGCAATTTTTTTATCCATTTTGACAATTTCGTTTCTATTGATAGGTTAATATTTTAAATCAATCGCAATACGCGGACACTGTTTCGTTATTGTAGTGCTATAACGTAAAGAAGCAACATCAGTAATAATGGAACGATCTTCGTAGCTTTACCGAGTGATGTCACATCATCAGTACATACAGTGAATATCGGAACGCAGCCTAAATGTTCCGGTTAGTTTTGAGGGATTTTGGCGGAAGAAACACGTTTATTTTTGAGAGACGTTAAATTATATTTTATTCAAAATATTTTCCATCGCTAGCTTTTTCCCACTTTTCAGGCAACAAGTGAATTCCGCGATAAAAGAAATGTTCGTCCTTCAAAGCAATTCACTCATCGAACCATTTTTGTACTTCTTTGAAGTGCTGGTCAGCAAGGTTATGCTACATAGATCGAAATAAATGGTAATCGGAAGCACCACCATCTAGTGAATACGCAGTGTGTGGTAGGACCTCCCATTGAAGTGCCGATAATGTATCCTTAATTGTTTTTGCAACGTGCGGTCGAACATCGTCGTGCAACAAAATCACTTTGCGTTTTTTTGAGCTGTTATTAGACGTTTTTGGTTCAAAGTATGATTCAAATCGATTAATTGTTGTTGATAACGCACAGCAGTGATTGCTTGATTCAGTTGTAGCAACTCATATCGCATATGGGAATAAGTTTCTGCCCTTTTCAGAAAGATATCGCTAGTGGTACTAATTTCGTGTTTGATGGAATGGCTATATTTGTGTTTTGAAGGTGTATTTG